ACCATGCCTAAGCCTCGGACGCCCCCCCCCCCCCCCGCCCCCACTAAACGCACTCATACACCTAAACCCACAGCAGACTACCACCTACCTCGCCACAGAGCACCGTGGATGGCAGGAAGCAGGAGTACTACAGCTAACCGGGTCACCAATGGGTCAACCATCTGGTCGAACACAACAAATGGTCACGCTGTTCGACCTTTTTGACGACAACACCTTTTTGCCCTTCACCCGCACCTCGACCCGTTCTTGCAGCTGGAAGCACCCTTGCTGCGGAACAGCAGGCGACACACTCTCCTCGCCACCCCTCCAGCCACCACCCCCTCCCTTCCACGCATCACATTGCCACAGTCACCCACCCCCTCCCCGCACCCTCCCCGCCCTCAGCTACACCCCCGCCCGTCTCCCTCTCGTAGCCGCTATGGGTGGTGGTAGCAACGCAGGCGACAACCTTGAACACAGTTTGGCGAGGGCCTGCGACCGGTGCCGCAAGGGCAAGAGGAGGTGTGAGTGGAACTCGGACGAAGACATTGCTTGCATTCGCTGCATTCGTCTCAAGCTCGACTGCGCCACAACGTTGCCCGTCCGCAAGCGCGGCCGGCCTCGCAAGCGCAAGCGCGACTCGATCGACGACGCCTCGTCGGTCACCGTCCTCCCGCCAGCGGCCTCGGCCCCGCTCTCCGAGGCCCGGCCGACATCAATGACGTTTACACACATTGCGCTGCCTACAGCGCGCGGCTCGACCGTCGGCCAGGGCCAGATTGGTCTACTCAAGGCCGTTAAGGTGACTACCATGCAAAACGGCGCTGCCACCACGCACTCGACCTTTGGTGTTCTCGGCAACTCGGGTGTGCAGCAGCCGTTGGCATCACTCTCCGCGCCGCAGCGGTACCCAGCTATGCTTCCCATGCCCGCCATGCAAGGCATTCCGGGCATGTCTGGCCAGGTTGGCTTCTCGCCAGACCCGATCCTCCTACCCTCGATGGGCTCCTTGAATGCGAGCCCGATGAACGGCCTGCCAAACGACCCGCACATGGCCCAGATGGCGTACGGGTTTCAGATGCAGCAGGCCCAACAGGTTGAGCAGACTCAACAAGCGCAGCAAGCGCAGCAAGCGCAGCACGCTCAGAAGGGCCAACACGCTCAGCAGGCCCAGCAACAGGTCCATGCCACCTCGCTCGCCACACAGCGCGGCATGCAGCAGCTTGCCAGTGCCCAGCTCGCCGCTGAGCAAGCGTCGCAGCAAGGCGGTCAACAAGTCTCACCGCAGCAGCTGCAGCAAGTGATCGCCCAGCAGCAGCTTGCCCAGCAACAACTCGCCCAAATGCAGACTCAGCAGGTGCAGACCCAGCAGCTCCAACAGCTTCAGCAACTGCAGCAGCTGCAGACCCAGCAACTCCATGTTGAGCACCAAGCACAAGCACAAGCACAAGCACATGCTCATGCTCATGCTCATGCTCAGCAGTTCCAAGCTTCGCCGCCGCTCCACGAGTCACAAGATGGGCAGGGAAGCGGACCAGCATCGCAGGAGCAAGAGCGACCTGCGGCTCAGGGTGCAGCCTCTGTACAAGGGCAACCTGTTCAAAACGAGTTCCAGGCCTACCAGCAGTACCACGGCGAGTCCGCACTGAGCCACGACCCGCAGGCCTTGCAGCTGCTGCAGAGCCAGAGCCAGCGAATACTCGCAGGCATGGGCGGAGTCGCGGCATCGTTTCCGTCGCAGTCGACACTGTCGCCGACTGCGTCGATGCAGGCCCATGAGCATCTTCGTCAACAGGCCCAGCTCCGAGCGCCAGGCTCGGGCGCTTCGGCCGGCTCCGCTGGCTCAGCCGGCTCGGCCGGGTCTGCTGGTTCGGCTTCGAGTATGGCACCCCCGCAGCAGCATACACCACCGCTCGTTCTCCAGAACGGGGCGCTCCAGGCCGCGGGCTGTCCCAAACTGGTCCGCCTCTGTCGCGCCAAAGGACCCTCGGCTGGCTGCCGGTTTCCTCTCCGCTTGGCAAGCAGTCTGCCGTCCTCGGCGTCATTGGCTCTGAACGTGAGTACGTCCAAGACATGCTCCGCATGACCCACCACACGCTCGGCATCATTCCTTTCAAGATTGGCTCGATAGCTCTCCAGCTCGCGGCTGTCCTGCCCGGCGGCTCGGAATCGCCCGTGCCCAGGATCCCAGTCATTGGCGAGATCCTTGTCCACCTCATCATGGCCGGCGGCGCCCTCATCCGCGACGACCTGGCCTCGGCCCAGTTTTTGGTAGACTCGGCCTCAAAGCTTGTCGGCTCCATCATGGGCGTCGTCTCGGAGGAGGCCGTCATCTGCCATGTCCTCTTTTCCATGTACTACCTCGACGGCTCGCCACAGCGCGCCCGCGCTCACGGCATCATGGCCCGCGACATGATCCTTCGCCTCGCCGCCGCCAACAAGGGCCTCTTTGTCCTCGAGTCGTCACGCACCCGCGTTGCGCGCTCGTCAACGCCGACTTGTGACTCGCCGTCGTCCGTCGCAGCTTCGATCGAGCGCCTCCCGTCAGACTCGGAGCTCACCCTCCACGGCCTCCAGGCGTGGCTCTTCCGCATGCTTCGCCTCCGCGTCGCAGCCCATGAGCAGGTCCCACACCCGCCCACGCTCCACTCCGCCATCAACGACATCTACCTCCTCTATCCAGTATTTACCCGCATTCTCGCCTCGTTTGTCGGCGCCATGTCGAGGTCGACCTTCCCGCTCGTCGCCGAGGCGTCAACCCTGCTCCTTGCCTTCCTTGGCGAGCGTAACCTCGACCTCTCGGTTTGGAACCCCATGACCGGGCCCGTCTCCCCCACTTCGCCCTCGGTCGTCTTTCTCATCGCCCTCATCCGCCGCGCCGAGGAGGACAGTGCCAACTTTGGCTCTGTCCCCAATTGGACCGACACCATCCGCGCTGGCGCCCCCGCCATCCTCGTCCGCTTCAAGTCGCACCTCGAAGATACCGAGAGCCTCGAGGCCGACCCCTTCCTCGTCCTCTTTCGCCACACGCTCAAGGTCCACATTGCGCTCCTCGAGATCATGCTCTCCAACATTATGCCGGGCCTCGAAGCCATGAACGCGGCCATCGCCGAGCTCCTCGGCGAAGGTCCCTCGCCGCTCCTTTACTCGGTCATGTTCAACAACTCGACCCTTTTTGCCATCCAGGCCTACATCGCCATTCTCTTCCGCGACACAAACCTCGCTGGCGGTGTCGCCGCCGTCTCGGCCGGCACCCAGTCCCGCACCATCGGCGCTTTCCTCACCCTCCTCCGCATCGCCTTTTCGTCGTCGCCCGCAGAGCTCGCCCGTGCGGGCATTGGCTCGGCCCCGCCAGACATCAACACCGCCCCGGCCTCCGCCACAGGCCAGCCGCACCCTGGCCCGTCCAAGGACGCGCAGCCTCCCGTCCCCATCCCCGTTCCTACCCCTATGGATGTGGCAAAGTCGATCGCGCCCAACCCAGTCCCGGTCCCGCTCACTGTCCCAACGCCGGCACCGGCCCCCCAGCGCTCTGCCAAGAACCCGGATGACCAACGGAGCCAAGGCTCGGGCTCGACTGGTGGCAACTCGGACTCGTCGCGCTCGACCGCGCCGGCCGCGCCTGGTTCTGCTGCCCTCCCGGGCCTCACCCTCTCGGCTGCCCACATGCACGCCCACCTGCGTCAGATCCAGGCCCTCAACACCGCCTCGTCTGGCTCCATCCCGTCCGTCTCGCTCGACGCCTCGCTCGCGGCCATCGCCTCGCCGTCCATCTACGACTCGTCGTTCTTTGACTTTGAATTTTCCTCTGTCGGCCTCACCCCGCCTGCCTCGGCCCCATCCTCAGCCTCGGTCTCGCGCTCATCTGCTCAACAGTCGGAGTCTGCTCTCAACTCCACCGCTGCTAACCCCGGCGTGGTCGACCCTGGCCTCCCCAACCCGGCCTTGCCTCAATCGTAGCCGCATCCAGCTGGTTTCTCGGCTCGCCCACGTGCCTGCGCCCACCGCCGTCATTGCTCTACGATAGCCTCCTAAACTAATTGTGATGTTGTGCTCTGCACCCATCGGGCAGTCTATGAACCATTCCCATCACCTCCCCCAGTCGATTCCAACCTCCCCTGTCCAGCCCCGCCACATCGTGTAACACTGTCCCCACACACACACACACACACACACACGAACACACACACACTACACAACACACACACACACACACACACACACTGGTA